TCAGGGCTCAATAAGCGTTTTTTTAGGGTTTAGGGTTAAGGGACGTTTTAGGGGTTTAGGGCTTGGGATTTGAGGGTTTAGGTTTTTTTGTTTTTTTGTTGCGGTTTGGGGTCTTTAAGGTCTAGGGCTTAGGGGTTTTAGGGTTTAGGGTTTAGGGCGGGTTTAGGGATTAGGGGTATTTAGGGCTTAGGTTTTTTTAGGGTTTAGAGCTCAGGGGCTTTTAGGGTTGAGGGTTTAAGCTTTCCAGCCTTGCGCATCTTAGGCTTTAGGGTTTAGGGTTTCGGGTTTCGGGTTTCGGCTTCGGGTTTGGCGTTTCGGGTGTAGGGTTTAGGGATTCAAGGTTTAGGGTACAGTTTGAGGCGACGAAGGAAGGGAGGGATAGGCGGCTAGGCTTTGTTCTGGGAGGGGCCTACCTATCCGCGCCAGACGGACCCCTAAGGATAGGGGCCTATCGACTGGGAGTAGGGGGTCGGGGGTAGGGGTCTATCCGGATCCCGGGGAGGTGGATTGGTCTTGGTCGTTCTTGCACGCTATTATACCAGACTTAGATCGAGTCCCTGTTCTCAACGCCGAAAGCAAAGCGTCCTGAGTAAGCTTGATGGACTCGGACTGGGCCGGGTGCCTCGATAGCTCCACATTGATACCATCCGGCGAAGCTGAAATCGGAGCTTTGAGCCGAGAGGCGCGCGACGCCATGTTTGTTAAGCAACTTGCGGAGGAGGATTTCGGGTTGAAACTTGGCACTGCCCGCTTATGGACAGCGTGCAGCCCTTTATGTTCAAGAACTTCGGCAAAATCTTTGGGGAGATCCAGCAGTTTGGAGCATTTGAATCGGCAATAGAGCAGTGGCAGACTTTGGCATGGATATGAGTTCATGCAAATGGAAAAAGTAGTGCGGTGAGCTACGCAAAACTGGATTGTTGATGCTTGATGGCAAAAAATACTACATTTTGTGCTGTCTTGGAGCCCCGCCAATGGAATCCCATTACCCCCTAGCGGAACCCCGTGGACCCATTACACCCATTACCCACTAACGGAAATCCCAATGACTGCCCACTAGCGGAACCGGAATCCCATCACTAGCGCGAAATCCCATTTGCACCAAACGCGTTGCTAGCCCACACCGTTTTTTGTCCACGGCAGCTCCCGCTCTCCGGCAGACGCGGCCGGGTGATGCTCATGATGCTGATGATGCGTGTGTTTGCGGCCGTTTACATGTATAGTGCAGGGTACGTAAAGGGAATTTAAAAGCTAAACGAGAACGCGAAAGAACATGGGAAGAGATGCAGTTTGAAGAGCGTGAAGGCGAGCAAGATGCGGTCGCAAGGACGGTTGTGTGCACAAATAACGCAACAGGTCGATGTATTCGTAGAAGAAACTTCCGATGGCGGCATCCAGACGTGAGGAGGCTCTGATGCTCATGATGCCTTCGTAGCGCGCTGGAATCCCATAATGTCAGAATGGAATCCCATTGCCTACTACTGGCCAGTGGAAATCCCATTGCCTGTTAATGAAATGCCACTATTGCCCGCTAGTGAAATCCCATTGCGGATTTGTTAAGCTGGGCAGGTACCGCAACATGTTGATGGTGGCTTGGCAGGAACACTGAATTTCTGCTAGCTTGAGGCGAACGCAAGGAATCCAGTGGAATCACTGGCAAATCCCATTGCCCGTTAATGAAACTAGTGAAATCCCACTGCCCATAAATGAAATCCCATAGAATTCCATCATCCATTCGTGCACACTAGTGGAATCACATTGCCCACTAAGGCGAAGCCCTGCCCTGAAAACCACAGCTCACCAGCCTTTAACCCAGACCCAAAACCCTAAACCTTCATCGCAATTCCTAAGCTCAGTATGGCTTGTGCTCTTTTTTTTTGCGGGGGTTTCTTGGGCCAGCGCCTTCGACTTGTCCCCACGGGCCTTCTTCATCTGGGTGTATTTCTTTCCTGGCTAAGTCGCAGGCTTTAGGAACCTAAGGCAATCCCGCTAGTGGGAAGCAAATGAAGTCCCAGTACCCACAGAAATCTTATAGAAATTGCATTACCCGCTCATGGAAATTCCTGCTACCCATTTGTGCTGCAAAACGCAGGTCTGCATCATTAGCATCAGCCGGCCGCGGCCGCCAGCAAAGGAGAGCATCAGAGGCATCAGCCGGCTCGGTGGGTAGCAGCCGCGGACAACAAGGTTGTGCACGCTAGCGACCCGCAGCGCGCGGGCCCGTGTCCCGCACGCTCGGAAGCCACAACGGTGCCATTTGGATCCACTAGTGCGTACTAGATGTTCACTAGTAGGCAATGGTATTTCCATTATGCTCATGCTGCACCTGCTCCGGATTTACCGAATGCGCGGCTGGCCAAGCCTTGTCCGCAAGCAAAGCATCTTTGGCAAGCCCTGATGTAAGTTGCTCTGGCTTCACAAGTGGGTAGTGGGATTTCCAGTAGTGTGACTCCCATCACTCGTGGGACATGGGATTTCCACTAGTGGGCAGTGGGATTCCACCAGTAGGTAATGGGCATTGGTAGCAGGACTCCATTGGGTTTCACTAGTGGGCAATGGGATCTCACCCAGTTTCGTAGAGTGTCGCGGCGCGTCGAAACGGGTTGCACAGGTGCTGGTCACCAGTGATGCTCGTGCTCTGCCTTTGCTCGCCTGGGGCTCCCGGTGCTTTCCTTGAAGGTCGATCGCTCGCACCAAAAATCGTGCCAGCGCCTGATCCGCACCGCTTTGCGACCATGCACAGTGCGGGTCGCCAGCCCGCACCATTTTTTCAGTCCTGAGAAAAGACCTGGCATTCAGGCGCTCTTGTCGCAAATATCGTGGGACTCGAATTCCGGTGCGTAGAAAACCTCGCATGTGCAGTTTTGGCATTGCAGGCAATGCGACTTGTCAGTACCTCTGCCGCATTGCTCAATTGTTGCCTGGAGCGAGTCAGCATGTCGCCTCGTGGAAGAACCCGGCAGGCCTTTGCGTGTCGTGGGAACGTGCAGAAGCATGGCCGCGGATTTCGAGTTCGTTTTTGGTGTGGAGAGATTCAGAACATGCGGGAGTCGAAGAAGAAAGCGCTCGCCGACTTCCAGTGTCTTCGCCAGTGCTCCACCTCGGGCGATCTTGTGGCCTGTGCTGCGAGTCTGAAGGCACCCGCCTCTCCGCCCTGCAGCAGCCAGTCTTTGACTCTTTGCGGGCTAAACGTGCAGTATCCGTGGAGTCGGCTCCTCATGGTGCAAGGCGATGGATGTGAGTACGCTCTGGGGAAGTACCGCTGCTTCTCCGCGGGCGAGCAGCTGTTCTTCATCGAGACTCTGGGCAGCGGCTCCACGCAGGGCGCCATGGTGGACATCGCGATGGTTCGCGCTCCATTGAAAGCGCAAGTGCTCGGCGTCATCGTTTTGCGGGCAGCATCGAGTTTGAGAATTACGACCACTTCGATGCTCATCGACCGGATACCTTGATCGAGCAGGGTAGCTTCTATGATTGCTCTTGAAGTCCACCAAGAGCTCTACCGGCTTGGTCCAGCCGAGCATGGACTTCCGTGCGTGCCCCACTGCCACAGGCCGCTTGAAGGCACGAACGTGCTGCACGTACCAACCGAACAGTGTCTTGGGCTCCGACGTCCACCAGAAGCCCCCGGCCACCAGTCTCTTGAGGAGACGCCCTTGGAATTGAAGTGCTCGGGACATTTTTGAACTTCTTGGCCCACGAATTTTAAATAGTCTTCAGGCCCAAGCCAGGCGCTGCGCGCTGCACGCTGTCTTGTGAAAGGTGTGCTTCACCTGTTCCCTGGGATGTTAGGCTCGAGGACAAAACATGCAAGCTCGGTTTCTCTTCGCTTCTGTGCCTCCATGCTTTCGCGCTCTGCATGCGTGCATGCTGAGTTGTTGCTTCCTGAAAGGTGCTATGAGCTTGGACTTCAGAGCTACTGCCGATGATGCTCCTGGCTGACGGCTCTCGCGTTGGATGTCTTTGTCTTTTCTTTCATGGCTTCGCGTGGACTGGACGTGCACAGCCGAGTCGGGTGCATACGGGTGCATGAAGTGAAGTTCTTACAGTTGCTCAAGTGCATTAAATTGAAAAATGTCGACTTCAAGTCCGTTAACTTCAGATGTATTGACTTCCAATGATGTGAAGAGAGTTGACCACAAGTGCATGGCATTCAAGTCAACACACTTGAATGCCACGCAGTTGAAGTGCATACAAGTGCAGTATGCAAGTGAGTATGCAACCATATAAGTGCAAACGAAAATCCCATTACCCACTCATTTTAGTGCAAGAGTGAAATGCATAGAGTAGAAATCACGAGATTTTCTTACAACAGACTGGAATTTACGAGATTTGAGTACAATTTTAATACAATTTAATAGAATCGACGAGATTTTGATAGAATTTAGTAAACCTTCGTACCCAGTCCTACATTTCTTAATTAAAATTATTCTTTTTAAGGCGGTGGGCTGGGTTGACGTCGTCAATCGGGATTGCAACCCTCTGCGGGTTTCGGCGTGGTCGCGGTGCTAAAGCCCTCGTTTTGTGAGGTTTCTTTCTGGCCGCGGACAACCCTCTGCGGGTATCGGCGTGCTCGCGGTGCAAAAACAGTCGTTTTTTTTAAAAACATTTCTTGCTTTGCGGGGACAACCCTCTGCGGGTTTCGGCGTGGTTGCGGTGCTAAAACCATCGTTTTTTGCACATTTTTTCGTGTGTGTGCGTCAACCCTCTGCGGGGTTCGGCCTGGTCGCGGCGCCCAAACCCTCGTACTTTGACATATAAACGCAACTCCTCTGCGGGTTTCCGCGTGGTAGAGGTGCTAAAACCCTCGTGTTTTTGCATTTTTGTGACCGAAAAAATCCTTTGTAGTACAAAAGTAGTACTGTGCAGGGCCGGTGCGCTCTTCTGAGCTTTAAAAACCCTCCTCTGTAGCACAAAAGTAGTACTGAATAGGGCCGGCGCGGGCTTTTAGGCGAGCCCCCCTCTCCAAATCCGTCTCTGTAGTACAAAGGTAGCACTAAATGGGGCCGGCGCGCGCTTCTAGGACAGCCGTCGAAAACCTCGCAAATGTCGTGGGACTCGAATTCCGGGATGTCGAAACCCTCGCAATATCGTGGGACTCGAATTCCGGGGGACTCGAATTCCGGGGCCTCGAAAACCTCGCAAATATCGTGGGACTCGAATTCCGGGGTGTCGAAACCCTCAAGGTCTTCTTGCCAACCTCGCTCTTCTGTCCTTTTCTTTGCAATGACGCTATCACTATCGAACAAGCTCCAGCTGGACTACACGTTCGGGGAAGTCTCCCCTGGCATTCAGGCGCTCTTGCCGCAAATATCGTGGGACTCGAATTCCGGTGCGTAGAAAACCTCGCATGTGCAGTTTTGGCATTGCAGGCAATGCGACATGTCAGTACCTCTGCCGCATTGCTCAATTGTTTCCTGGAGCGAATCAGCATGTCGCCTCGTGGAAGAGCCCGGCAGGCCTTTGCGTGTCGTGGGAACGTGCAGAAGCATGGCCACGGATTTCGAGTTCGTTTTTGGTGTGGAGAGATTCAGAACATGCGGGAGTCGAAGAAGAAAGCGCTCGCCGACTTCCAGTGTCTTCGCCAGTGCTCCACCTCGGGCGATCTTGTGGCCTGTGCTGCGAGTCTGAAGGCACCCGCCTCTCCGCCCTGCAGCAGCCAGTCTTTGACTCTTTGCGGGCTAAACGTGCAGTATCCGTGGAGTCGGCTCCTCATGGTGCAAGGCGAGGGATGTGAGTACGCTCTGGGGAAGTACCGCTGCTTCTCCGCGGGCGAGCAGCTGTTCCTCATCGAGACTCTGGGCAGCGGCTCGACGCAGGGCGCCATGGTGGACATCGCGATGGTTCGCGCTCCATTGAAAGCGCAAGTGCTCGGCGTCATCGTTTTGCGGGCAGCATCGAGTTTGAGAATTACGACCACTTCGATGCTCATCGACCGGATACCTTGATCGAGCAGGGTAGCTTCTATGATTGGTGGACGTCGGAGCCCAAGACACTGTTCGGTTGGTACGTGCAGCACGTTCGTGCCTTCAAGCGGCCTGTGGCAGTGGGGCACGCACGGAAGTCCATGCTCGGCTGGACCAAGCCGGTAGAGCTCTTGGTGGACTTCAAGACAGAAGCCCCCGGCCACCAGTCTCTTGAGGAGACGCCCTTGGAATTGAAGTGCTGGGGACATTTTTGAATTTCTTGGCCCACGAATTTCAAATAGTCTTCAGGCCCAAGCCCGGCGCTGCGCGCTGCACGCTGTCTTGTGAAAGGTGTGCTTCACCTGTTCCCTGGGATGTTAGGCTCGAGGACAAAACATGCAAGCTCGGTTTCTCTTCGCTTCTGTGCCTCCATGCTTTCGCGCTCTACATGCGTGCATGCTGAGTTGTTGCTTCCTGAAAGGCGCTGTGGACTATGAGCTTGGACTTCAGAGCTACTGCCGATGATGCTCCTGGCTGACGGCTCTCGCGTTGGATGTTTTTGTCTTTTCTTTCATGGCTTCGCGTGGACTGGACGTGCACAGCCGAGTCGGGTGCATACGGGTGCATGAAGTGAAGTTCTTACAGTTGCTCAAGTGCATTAAATTGAAAATTGTCGACTTCAAGTCCGTTATCTTCAGATGTATTGACTTCCAATGATGTGAAGAGAGTTGACCACAAGTGCATGGCATTCAAGTCAACACACTTGAATGCCACGCAGTTGAAGTGCATACAAGTGCAGTATGCAAGTGAGTATGCAACCATATAACTGCATACAATTGTCCAAGTGCATACAGTTCGAGTGCATAGAGTGAAGTGCATAGAGTCAACACACGGCAAATCGATGCTTTCGGGCCAATCGTCTTCTAGTTTCTTTCCTTGGCTCTGCATCTAAGTCGCAGGCTTTAGGAACCTCGCCAAAATCCCAATGCGACCCACTAGTGGAACCCAGTGGAATACCACTGCCCAGGAATGACCTTCCATTACCCGCGATGGAAAAAACCTTAATTCCGAATGGAAACCAGTGGGCAATGGGATCTCACCCAGTTTCGTAGAGTGTCGCGGCGCGTCGAAACGGGTTGCACGGGTGCTAGTCACCAGTGATGCTCGTGCTCTGCCTTTGCTCGCCTGGGGCTCCCGGTGCTTTCCTTGAAGGTCGATCGCTCGCACCAAAAATCGTGCCCGCGCCTGATCCGCACCGCTTTGCGACCATGCACAGCGCGGGTCGCCAGCCCGCACCATTTTTTGGGTCACCCACCCCCCCTGGCCCCTAAGCCGGCTGATGCCACGGATCCTCTCCATTTTTTGGCGGCTGCGGCTAGGAGGAATCTTCCAGCCGTCCACGACTTCCGCCCGCGGAGCCGGCTGATGCTCTTGATGCGCTCTCCTAGGGGCCGCTCGCGATGCTCGCGCCTTTAGCGGACGTGGTTGGGTCATGCTCATCATGTGGACGTGTGCTTGCGGCCGTTTACATGTGCAGTGCGGTGTACGACAAGGAAACTGACAGCAAAAACGAAAATGATGAAGAACATGAGAAGAGATGCACACAAGTAACACGACATGTCGATATACTCATAGAAGAAATTTGCGACGCCTGTATCCAGAAATAATGAGGAGGCTCTGATGCTCGTGATGCCTTCGTAGCGTGTCGCGGCACATCGAAACGGGTTTTTGCACGGGCAGAATACCTTTGCCGAGTCAGTGGAATGCACATTAACCCCTAGTGGAAATCCCGCTAGCCACTGGAAATGCCATGACGCAATAGCGGAATCCCATTGCCGATTAAATGAACATTACCCGCTAGTGGCTAGTAAATATCTCAACCTCCGATGGCTGTATGCAGAAGTGAAGAGGCTCTGCTCACGATGCTTTCGCAGGTGGGTTGCACGGGTGCTGCTCGCATAACCCCATTCATGGAAATGCCAGTGGCCATTTGTATCCCATTGCCCACCCACTAGTGGCTAGGGAACATCTCACTACCTGGAATCCAGCGATTACCATTCCGCCCTTGTGGAAATCCCATTCATGGCGATCCCTTTACTCGCTGGTGGAAACCAATAGGATTTCACTATCCACTAGAGGAAATCCCATTGCCCACTAGTGGAGCCATTACCCACTAGTGGAAGCCAGTGGAATCCCATTTACCCACTAGTGGAAATCCCATGAAGCACTTGTGTGAATCCTGGTCGCCATTGTCATTGATGGAGTTGAATCAAAACATTACTCTCCAACTGGAATCCTATTACCCATCAGTGGAAATTGCACTAACCACTAGTGGAAAATACCATTGCCTGCTAGACGAAAATCCCATTGCCCACTCATGAAATCCGATTGCCCAAGGCAGCTTACATCCGACCTTGCTGAATAAGCTTTGCCTTGCAAGGCTGCGCATTCGTTAAGCCTGGGCACCGCAACATGTGATGGCTTGGCAGGAACACTGAACTTCTGCTTATCCTGGTTACGATAGACCCGGAGGAGGAAACAAGCACATTCGCACCAACACCGTACGAAGAACCCCACATTCTTCTTGAGCTCAAGTGCTTCACAAACGGCTGGCGCACCCGTTCCGGTGATGTGAGATGCGTGTCAAAACTGTTTTCATGCGTGTGCCTCCTGAGCACACGCCACATTTCTACGCATGGCTCCGCGACCAAGGCCGTGGCTTTAGAGCTTCTGGAACTGCCGGAAAGAAGTGGAACAAGTGGTTACCCAGGGTTTGCTTAGCAAAAGCTACCAGTTCGTTCGCGGAACTTGCGACCACACAGCGCGCACATTAAGTCAATGTGTTAGGCCGAACCCAAGACGCCTTTCTCACAGTCCCTGACGACAAACATCGCGATAACGTGCTCACATTGCTTGACCTCTAGCATGGAAAGCCATCGAGAATCGCAGGCCAACGGATCCCCCGCAGAGCAACATGCAAGCCATCGACGAGCAAGGCGCAGAAGTTAATGCAAAGTGCATCGGTTGATTTAAGCGTCGACCGCAGAGACATACGCTACGAAAGCACTTGCTCGGCACACGCGGGATCCCGGGGAGGTGGATTGGTCTTGGTCGTTCTTGCACGCTATTATACCAGACTTAGATCGAGTCCCTGTTCTCAACGCCGAAAGCAAAGCGTCCTGAGTAAGCTTGATGGACTCGGACTGGGCCGGGTGCCTCGATAGCTCCACATTGATACCATCCGGCGAAGCTGAAATCGGAGCTTTGAGCCGAGAGGCGCGCGACGCCATGTTTGTTAAGCAACTTGCGGAGGAGGATTTCGGGTTGAAACTTGGCACTGCCCGCTTATGGACAGCGTGCAGCCCTTTATGTTCAAGAACTTCGGCAAAATCTCTGGGGAGATCCAGCAGTTTGGAGCATTTGAATCGGCAAAAGAGCAGTGGCGCGGTGAGCTACGCAAAACTGGATTGTTGATGCTTGATGGCAAAAAATGCTACATTTTGTGCTGTCTTGGAGCCCCGCCAATGGAATCCCATTACCCCTAGCGGAACCCCGTGGACCCATTACACCCATTACCCACTAACGGAAATCCCAATGACTGCCCACTAGCGACACCGGAATCCCATCACTAGCGCGAAATCCCATTTGCACCAAACGCGTTGCTAGCCCACACCGTTTTTTGTCCACGGCAGCTCCCGCTCTCCGGCAGACGCGGCCGGGTGATGCTCATGATGCTGATGATGCGTGTGTTTGCGGCCGTTTACATGTATAGTGCAGGGTACGTAAAGGGAATTTAAAGCTAAACGAGAACGCGAAAGAACATGGGAAGAGATGCCGTTTGAAGAGCGTGAAGGCGAGCAAGATGCGGTCGCAAGGACGGTTGTGTGCACAAATAACGCAACAGGTCGATGTATTCGTAGAAAAAACTTCCGATGGCGGCATCCAGACGTGAGGAGTTTCTGATGCTCATGATGCCTTCGTAGCGCGCTGGAATCCCATAATGTCATTCAATGGAATCCCATTGCCCACTAGTGGCCAGTGGAAATCCCATTGCCTGTTAATGAAATGCCACTACTGCCCACTAGTGAAACCCCATTGCGGACAAGGCTACGCATTTGTTAAGCTGGGCAGGTACCGCAACATGTTGATGGTGGCTTGGCAGGAACACTGAATTTCTGCTAGCTTGAAGCGAACGCAAGGAATCCAGTGGAATCACTAGCAAATCCCATTGCCCGTTAATGAAACTAGTGAAATCCCATTGCCCATAAATGAAATCCCATGGAATTCCATCATCCATTCGTGCACACTAGTGGAATCACATTGCCCACTAAGGCGAAGCCCTGTCCTGAAAACCACAGCTCACCAGCCTTTAACCCAGGCCCATAACCCTAAACCTTAATCGCAATTCCTAAGCTCAGTATGGCTTGCGCGTTTTTTTTTTGAGGGGGTTTCTTGGGCCAGCGCCTTCGACTTGTCCCCACGGGCCTTCTTCATCTGCCCACAGAAATCTTATAGAGATTGCATTACCCGCTCATGGAAATTCTGCTACCCATTTGTGCTGCAAACGCAGGTCTGCATCATTAGCATCAGCCGGCCGCGGCCGCCAGCAAAGGAGAGCATCAGAGGCATCAGCCGGCTCGGTGGGCAGCAGCCGCGGACAACAAGGTTGTGCACGCTAGCGACCCGCAGCGCGCGGGCCCGTGTCCCGCACGCTCGGAAGCCACAACGGTGCCATTTGCACGTATTTCCATTATGCTCATGCTGCACCTGCTCCAGATTTACCGAATGCGCGGCTGGCCACGTCCGTGTTACCAATGCGTGCGAGTGGCCAATGCATCCATGGCCGAGCCATGACTACGTCCGTGTTACCAATGCATGCAAGAGGCCAATGCATCCATGGCCGAGCCATGATTACGTCCGTGTCACCAATGCGTGCGAGTGGCCAATGCATCCATGGCCGAGCCATGATTATGTCCGTGTTACCAATGCATGCAAGTGGCCAATGCATCCATGGCCGAGCCATGATTCCGTCCGTGTTACCA